GAGCGGGGGTGTAGATCATATTACATATAAATCATATATTTGAAAAAAATCTAAATATCCTTAATTATGAGTTATCTTAACAAAACTAAAAATCTTTTCAGTTTTCTCATGGTTTATCCCATACAACATCTGATGACACTGCAGTCTTACTAACTCTAGCTTTTCAATGAAACTTAAAGGTCTTAAAAAAAAAAAAAACTTGTATATGCCTATTTCTTTGTAGAAATTAAATAGCTTAGGTTAAAAAAAAACACAATCTTTTCTGCTAATGAATATGTAAAATTGAATCTCCAAAAGAAGGAACCACCTCAGCCACACCCAAGGCAAACAGTACACTGAATTTATGAAGATATAAATATAGAGATACCTGTCCTGGAAGCCAGAAGCAACAGACAGATACACGATTTCAAGTGTGGAAAAATCATAGTAGAAGGAAGTTTCTCAAATACATGAGTAACTTTGCACAATTTATTCATAAAATAAAGAATAAAGCATTTACTTTTGAAATAAATGAATACACTATTTTGAAAATTGAATGCTTATAAGTAAGAATAGTTTATTAATATCTGTATCAGTATACATTTTCATGCTTTATGGACATTGTCCTAGTTTGTTTCTCTATCACTGTGGTAAAACACTCTGACCAAAGGCAACTTGGGGAAGGAGAGGGTTTATTTCACCTTATGGTACAGTCCTTTATAGAGGGAAGCAAGCACAGGAGCTCAAGCAGGGCAGAGACCTAGAGGCAGGAACAGAGGCACAGATCATGGAGGAACATTCCTTACTGGCTTGCTCTTCTGGCTTGTGCTCAGCCTGTGTTCCTACACAACCCAGGATCACCTACCTACCCAGGGGTAACACCACCCATAATGAGCTGGGCCCTCCCTACATCACTCAACAATCAAGAAAATGCTTCACAGACAATGCCCAAAGGCCATTCAGATAGAGGAAATTTCCTGGGAGGTTCCCTCTTGCTAGGGATGTCAGGTTGACATCTGAAGTTATCCAGCAGAGACATATATTTATAAAGCTTACCTATTACTCACTAGCTTGGAGTAAGTACTGTTAAAGTGTGCACATTTTGTATGAGCAACATAAAGTACGAAAGCACTTGCTTTCAATGCAAAGCACAGCCACTGGATCACTGGGTTTCTTCCCTACATCAGTGATTTCCTACTATTTATTTGATGAAACCACCAGTGATTCTGACTATCTTTAGATACATAATAAAGTCCTCACAACACAAATGCCTTTAAATAAAGTCTTAAAAAATGAAAGAAAACTAAAAAGAACTGGAATAGAGAAAAGACAGTGAAATAGTGAAAACAGAATGAGAAAGTGTCAAAACTCAGGTATGTAGCAGCTATGATGAGCAGGTCTTTGGTCAGTTGTAGGTCTGTTTGACTCCTGACATCACTGAAAATTAACTTTCCTTTAGTGCACAGGGCCCCTTGGATCTGACACTGCTGACTCGCTGACATTAATGTTGACTGGAAACCTGAAAGACTAGTACTTGGGAGAAACACGTAAGAAACCAAGGGTCCGGTGGCCTACACTGGGGCCAGCAGATGTTTGCTGAAGACCTATACAACAGTAAATATTATGGACTTTTCAGGATACAGGACTCTAGAGGGTGAAAGCAGCCATAAACAACACGTAAGCAAATGAGTATGGCTATGTTCTGATAAAAATGTATTTAAAAAATAAAAAGCAAGTAGACTGGATTTGACTCATGAGTCATGGTTTACCAAGATATGGACTAGCATACCTTTGAAGTAAGAGATATACAATCTTTCATTTAAAATATTTACTAAATGCCTCATAGCAGGCCAGCACAACTTCAGATGTTGGAGACATAGGAACACAACATGGTCCTTCACTAAGAGACTCTCACTTTGGTACAAATGTCTCCTCAGAAAACAATGATCAATCTTTTAAAAAAATCATTGTCACCGGGCATGGTAGCTCATGCCTTTAATCCCAGCACTCAGGAGGCAGAGACAGGCGGATCTCTGCAAGTTCAAGGCCATTCTGGTCTACATAGTGAGTTCCAGGACAGCTGGGACTACAGGGAGACCAAAAAATAAAAAATTTAAAAAATTAAAAAAAAAATATATATCATTGTCAGATTAACCTAATTTTCAAGTGTTAAGAAATATTATAATATTTAGTCATTTTTTAACATTAGTATTAACATAATTTTCACATTTCTATGCATATCCTTCATTATTTTATTATATAAGTGGAGTTAAAAAAATAAACTATGAGCCAAGGAACTATTGGCAACTGGTTACTAAGGGAGAATTGATGTTCTTTACAGCAGTGACTCTAGATAGGCTGACTGGACTCCAGTGGATGAACATGCACCGAGGGACATCTGGGTACAAATGCTTGACCAGATAGACTTTAACATGTATGATAGAATGCATGAAATCTGGTGGGGAGAGGATATGTGGGCTACAGATGGGGTTCAAATTTGTTTAAGATCTATTATAAGAAATGCACAACAACTCAATAAAAGTATACACAAAAGAAACTATGATTGAGTTCCATAAATGTAATAAATTAGAATAAAACGGTGTATACTGGGGCTGGAGAGATGGCTCAGCAGTTAAGAGCACTGACTGCTCTTACAGAGGACCTGGGTT